CTATTAGTGTTTAAAACTGAGCACAGAAAACAACAATGGAGAAAACAGGCCAATGACTGTGTATGTCTAGCTAAGAATGCTCTTTCACGCTGGACAGAACCAGAGGAGAAAGCTACTGGGGGAGGAAAAAGGACCATTTTGTTAATCTCTTCTAGTGAAAACCAAAAGATAGTGGTGACAGAAAGCACTGGAAATCATTGAGAATGGAGACAAAAATTTCAGACCTCTGATCCAGGGAAGAAGGTTATCACCCTTGCTACAGAGCCCAACCCACAAAGCTATTGCTTACCTGGTGGTGACTTAATTAGAAGATGAAAAATTCTCAGTCTGGTTTCTCCAGGGTATATCACTGCAAGTGAATTTACCCATTTTTATTATTCTGTTCTATATGTGCTGGTCACACAGCAGTAGAGAAGCCTTAGGGAGAGATTCAAATGTTGACACTTTTTTGGTGCTATGGGCAAGATGGAATTATCAACAGCAGGACAAATACTGCAGAATCATAATGTCTCAGTAGATATTGAGACAAGTAATATGGAACCCACTGTCTATGTTGCACTGCTTTGAAGTTTATTTAAAGCTTTTTCGAAAGGCCTTCCTTATGTGAGCTACGTATGCAGTGCTGTTTTTCTAAACCTGTCTTAAGGTGTTCGAAGATTTGGTACATAGCTGAGCTTCTCAAAGTTCAGAGCAGAATTGTCTCGGTGTGGGTAGGGGGAAGACTTCATTTTATATTGAACAACAGTAGGCACTGAATAAATATTTGTACCTGAATACTAACTAATTATTAAATAAAACTGGTATCAACAATTTATAGGCATAGAGTTTAACTTCTTTTGAAATTAACTCTGTCATGTAAATTGCATCTCGATCAAACAATACTGCTTATTTTGACACTAAACTTGGACATTTGGTGTTGTCTTTCATTCCTATGAAACAGGGTGACTGCCTGACTCCAACAAAGTAGATTTAACCAAAGCAGACCAAATCCTATTATTTGTAGGCAGATTTCTTGAGTATAAGATAAATATCTGAATTCTTGGAAAGTTCCATTCTGTTTGGAATGTTCTGTCCAGATTTTCGTTTAGAGTTATTTAGTAAGTATATGAAATGTCAGTTTCCTGTTTTATGAATTTACAGTAGCAAGTGAGGAATACTACGGGAGAAAAAACTAAAAATTGAGAGATGTACATATTCAACAAATACCCATACTTTCACTAATAATGAATCATACTTGAAAGATTTTAATCTTGAACATTCCTTAGAAACTAGGGCTTACTTTCAGAAGTAGCAAGCTGATCTGTACAGGTTACCAACATACTCAGGATCCCTCACTGTCAAAACTAAATATAGTAACCTGTAAATATGTGCCTTGCATATTACTGTGAAATGTTTAAAACTGAAACTGCTGCTAATTGATGTTTATACAATGAAGAAACAAGCTATGCAGTGATATATTTTCCACTTTTGGGTCATCACACTGATCTGGTTTTTTTAATCGGGTCTCAAGTCAGCTCTAGTTGTTAAGACAAACTGTCCCTAATAATGAACTTTGTGATTTTTATAAATGCCTATAATATTTTTATTGTAGGTAAGCAAGTGAGAACCAAACTGTCACAGGCCTTTAATCACTGGCTGAATGTTCCGGAAGATAAAATACAGGTACTGGCTAATTATTTTTAAAAGGTTGTTATTTTTCTTCCAAGATTACTGATAACAGATGATTCTAGTAGTTAGCGTAAATTGTAAGAAGTCTTAAATGCACTATTTTCTGAGTATAAAGTAGGCTTTCAGGAAAACAACTCTAGTACAAGGCTTTTAGTATGATGCAACACTAAAGAAATCACTTGCATGATATTTACTTCTTTCTAAGTCTGTTCAGTCTTTGAAGTTGTAGATAAGCAGGTATCACTGTTACCCACTTAACTCAGTTACTAACACTGAGGTTTTTAATGACTTATGAAAGAAGCTGGACGGTTATCTTGTAAATGTAGTGGTTGAAAATAAAATCTTAAGATTTTGATTCGAGAATATCAAAGACAGCAGTTAAATCAACTTTACAAACCCAAAACTGTGAGGGGTATATCATACAGTCTCCAGTCCTTACTTTCTAATGAGAAGCATTAAACTAGGAATTCTTGTTCCCTTTTGCTTTTCTGTTGGGCAAATGGTGCGAGCTGCATGGTTGTGTATTTAAACACTGTGGCTTGCAAAATGAAAAGTTATCCTTTGTGTTAGGTTAGACTGCAGTTTTGCTAAACTGCATATAGAGAATGCAAAATATTCTGTGTCCAAGACAATGTAAGGAATTAAAATAATCAGTTGTGGTTTTTGACCCTTACCCAGCTGGTCCCTTGTTAATGTCATTAATGGTTGGCAGAAGTACCTTTAGAGTTTGTGAAGTAGTCGTTTATAGAGTGCCTTAAGGGTGACACTTCATAGCCCTCAAGTAGCAAAGTGGTTTAAGAGTCTGCATTCATAATCTAGCAATTCTTCTATTTTTCAATCTGTCTGTATAACTCTTTAGCCAGATTTATTCTGTCTTTCAGCTAGACACGTCTTACCCTTTGTGCTCAGATATATATCCAAATAAAACATAGCAACCTGTGTATTGTATGTGTTGATTTAGTCTAATATCATAGATCAGAATTCAAATTGAAAGGAGCCTCTGGAATTTACCTAGGACAACCCTCTTCTTAAAGCAGGGCTTGCTCTGTATCTACTTTAGGCTTCTGTGAGCCTCGTTGAGTTTGAAAATCTGATGTAGTTTCTTCACATTCCCAGGGTGAGTCTTCTCATGCTGAACTCCATCCGTTATAACAAACCCTTCCATTCTGTTCAACTAGGATTTTTTTATGTTACAGTCTGACGATTGCCTCTTGCCCTTGTGCTGAGCACCCATGACGGTGTGGTCCATTTTTGCTTAGTGATACAGTAAACTAAAGCTGCAGTGCCTCTGTATGAGCAGAAGTTACCAGTTCTGTTAGTTTAAACTGATGCTCACGTAACTGTTTTTGAGAAGTTGGACCACTTGTTTTGATTATCTTTATGAAGCAAACCAATGCTTTCATGTTTCCTTTACCACTTAAGTTGTTTGTGATGGAACTTAGTATTTTTATTCTTCAGGGCCTTTGAGGACAAAACCAAGGCCCTGTCATCTCTTAATCTGCATCCTGACCCATTTATTACAGCTTTCGTGCATTCTTGTACTAATTTTGATAACTAATGATGGTTGAGATCTGGAGGACCACCTCCGGTCATCTTTTTGACATCTCTCATAATCTTCTTAAGATGTCCCGTGTCTAACAGCCTGCTTCCCTTCCAGCTATTTGTATTTCTTTTATTAGAAATCTGAATTCTGGCATATATTCTGGGACTTTTTTTTTTTTCTTTTAGATTATTTGTCTTTATGTAGTTTATTCAGATGATACAGCTGAGGCTACTGTTCCTCGGCAGTTTATTTTACTATTGACTGCCACCATTTCACTTTTTTCCCCAGCCAGGTGGTCTCTTCACCCCCACCACTCACTGAATTTCTTGTAGCAATCTGGTGCTGCACTGAGAGACTCCAGCTTGTTGAATTAGAGAACACTGGGTTTGTCAGAGGAACTTTCTCCTAAAGAAGTACTGAAATGGCCTAGTTCAGGGTCAACCAAATTTTAGAACTATTGCAGATAAGGAGTTGAAGAAATCTGTGTGTTGAACTAATAGTGCAGCAGGTACTGATTAGATAGTTTAGACTGTAAGAAAACAACACTGTACTGGGTCTTCAGATGCCATTATGAAGAGCAGTCTTTTCATTTTCTTGAGCTGCTTCCTGATGTCTTATAAAATAAGCTTTTTCTGCTATATGAGCTATTTCACTCCTTACTTTCGCCTTTGAAGCATTTTTGACACTGTCTTAAGTTCACTAGATAACTTGATTCAAACACAGTCATGAAGCACCGTTTCCATTAAATCTTAAATCATAGAATCATAGAATCGATTGGGTTGGAAAAGACCTCCGAGATCATCGAGTCCAACCCTTGGTCCAAATCCAGTCCATTTACTAGATCATGGCACTCAGTGCCACGTCCAATCTGCGTTTAAAAATCTCCAGGGATGTTGAATCCACCACCTCTCTGGGCAGCCCATTCCAATGCCTGATTACTCTCTCTGTAAAGAATTTTCTCCTGATATCCAACTTAAATTTCCCCTGGCGGAGCTTAAGCCCGTGCCCCCTTGTCCTATTGCTGAGTGCCTGAGAGAAGAGACCAACCCCCACCTGGCTAGAACTTCCCTTCAGGTAGTTATAGACGGTGATGAGGTCACCTCTGAGCCTCCTCTTCTCCAGGCTAAACAACCCCAGCTCCCTCAGCCTCTCCCCATAGGACTTATGCTCCAGTCCCTTCACCAGCCTTGTTGCTCTTCTCTGGACCCGCTCCAGCACCTCAATATCCTTTCTGAACTGAGGGGCCCAGAACTGAACACAATACTCAAGGTGTGGCCTCACCAACGCAGAGTACAGGGGAAGGATCACTTCCCTGCTCCTGCTGGCCACGCTATTTTTGATACAGGACAAGATCCCATTGGCCTTCTTGGCCACCTGGGCACACTGTTGGCTCATGTTGAGCTTCCTGTCAATTAGTACCCCCAGGTCCCTTTCTGCCTGGCTGCTTTCCAGCCACTCTGTGCCCAGCCTGTAGCGCTGCAGGGGGTTGTTGTGGCCAAAGTGCAGGACCCGGCACTTGGCTTTATTGAACTTCATCCCATTGGAATCAGCCCATCTCTCAAGTCTATCCAGATCCCTCTGCAGAGCCCTCCTGCCTTCCAGCAGGTCGACACTCCCTCCCAGTTTGGTGTCATCAGCAAATTTGCTGATGATGGACTCAATCCCCTCATCTAAATCATCAATAAAGATATTAAACAGGACTGGACCCAACACAGACCCCTGGGGAACACCACTGGTGACCGGCTGCCAGCTGGATGCAGCTCCATTCACCAGCACTCTCTGGGCCCGACCCTCCAGCCAGCTCCTAATCCAGGAGAGGGTACACTTGTCCAAGCCATGGGCTACCAGCTTTTCCAGGAGTAAAAATGTATAGAAGCTGCAAGGGATCTGGAAACTGACAGTGATATGAAATAGGTTCGCAAGAGAAACGCTGGAATAAGCTTATCCAAGGAATTCATAAAACACATAGAACGTTTCCTGATAATACTGAGAATGAGATAGTGGACCAAAAGAATATTCAAACAAATAGGTATATGGAATTGCCTTCAATAAGTGCTCTATCCTTTGATTTTTAAGTCAGTGGTCAACAATGTATCTTTACAGGTCCAAGTAGGGCTTACTTCTTGCTGGTCGGTGAGTCGTGAGGGTTAAGTATGTTGTTCTGGCAGTCATATCTTGGTAAAGCAATTAAATTCCTGGGGTTTAGGTTTTAGTCTTTAGGACATTGGTCACTGAACATCAGGTGGCTTGCTGCCCAAAAAAATGCTTACAGCAAAGTCCTTATTGTTTTGTCCTACAGGACTCACCAAATAGGACCATACTAGGTACTTGCTACTATTTTATGGTGGCCTTAGCATTTTTTAGCAGTTGTTTTGATGAATGTTGACTGAGTGCAATGTTTGTAGCTAGCAAGTGTAATTGGTTCATTAGCTTTAAAATCATATCTTAATCAGATGTGTTTTGCAGTGAGTTTATACAGTATGCAGTTTTATATGCTTAAATTTATTTCTATTTAAGCAGGTGCTGAATATACCTGTTGACTGCATAACAGCTGTGCAATAAAAACGGTGTATAGTGTTAAGACTCTTCATTTTTTGTTGAGATGTTAAGGTTCACTTCTAGTCAGCTACAAACCTGATGTTCTGAAGAATTTATTGCACACGTCAGGTGGTGTATGATATTGTCTACCTAGTAACAAGTAGTAAGTGTGTAGGAAGCTTCCCAAAAGATATCGTAGCTGTTGTCTTTCTGCCAAGAATTTTCCAAATGATGTTTCAGAGAGAATAGTCTGTCCTTTAAGAGCTCAATACTGAAGATAACCACACAAAGTGTGGGAAAAGAAAGATGAACTCTCTCTGCTTATCAAAACAAGGTTTATGAGACAAATGGGATAATGGATGATACCTGACGCTCTCAAGAACTGACCTGGGGAGATTTGAGGTTAGTGAATCTAAATGTTTGAAAACACTGTTTATTTTCTTTTCCCCTAATCATGTTTCTACTAACAGACTTCTAGACAATGGCTGTTTTAGAACTGTAGCAACAATGAAGAGAGGCATGCAAATGGAAGCACTTCAGGGAGTAAGTTCACTTTGAATTTGAAAACAGTATACAAAAGACAGACCACATGATCTAGGACTTAGAGCAAACTGGCTGATGAAGAGAATCATAAATCTGTACTAATAGTAAAAGCAAGTGGTCTAAAGGGGAACCTCAGGGATAGAGAATATATTTCTTTAAAACATTATCAATTTTAAATAAGGTCTTGCAAAACAGGGTATTAAATTACAATGTCAGACTTAATAATTTTCTCTTCTTATAATAGGTTATCATTGAAGTGACAGAGATGTTGCACAATGCAAGCCTACTTGTGGATGATATTGAAGATAACTCAAAGCTTCGACGGGGCTTTCCAGTGGCACACAGTATCTATGGAATTCCATCTGTAATCAACTGTGCTAATTATGTGTATTTTCTTGGCTTAGAGAAGGTTTTAACCCTCGATCATCCAGATGCTGTTAAAGTTTTTACCCGCCAACTTTTGGAACTCCATAAAGGTCAAGGCTTGGATATTTACTGGAGGGATACTTACACCTGTCCTACGGAGGCTGAATATAAAGCTATGGTACTGCAAAAGACAGGTGGTCTCTTCGGATTAGCTGTAGGCCTCATGCAGCTGTTCTCAAATTATAAAAAAGACTTAAAGCCACTCCTTAACACACTTGGTCTCTTCTTCCAAATAAGAGATGATTATGCCAACTTGCACTCCAAAGAATATAGTGAGAACAAGAGTTTTTGTGAAGACTTAACTGAGGGCAAGTTCTCATTCCCAACCATTCATGCAATTTGGTCAAGACCTGAAAGTACTCAGGTGCAAAACATTTTACGTCAAAGGACAGAGAACATAGATATAAAAAAATACTGTGTGCATTACCTTGAAAATGTTGGTTCCTTTGAGTACACTCGGAATACATTGAAAGAGCTTGAATCTGAAGCCTATAAACAAATTGAATCACTTGGGGGAAACCCTGAGCTTGTAACACTAGTTGAACAGCTGAGCAAAATGTTCAAAGAAACTGAAAATTAAAAATGTAACTTCTGGGTGTGGGTGAAAACTCTTTTTAAAATGGAAAGATAACCAGACTGAGAGATGTGATAATCAGTCTCATGTAAAAATTTCTCTTGTAGCTATGTTAGCAGAAATTACTGTTAAAAACAACTTGTCACTGAGTATTGAAATATATACCCTATTATCTCTAAGGTCTTAACTGTAACTGCTTACAGTCAGCTTTGTTAAAGCAGATGTACTAGAACTGAAACAAGTTTTGAATCTAAATGTGATCGTGTTTACACAATCATAGGCATTATTTCATGCCTAAAACTCTTGTGTCTCTAACCAGGCTATCATAGGCTTCTGGTTGAAATTCTGTGTTTAAATTATATTGACATATGTGTATTGTGCATTTTCAAACGATGCTCTGGTAAACGAAAATGTATGTTAAATAACAGAAGAAGATAGTTGCAACCAATGGATATAAAATCGTTGTATGGTGTTTCTAAGTTAGACTTGTGAAGATCAGATGGATCAGCTTACTAAGTTCTAAGGTGAATATCCTAGCCAGCTTCTAGGGATATTTTCAGGGAAATGTGAATTATGAAAGATAGCATTTTATATGCAAATAAGACATGTTTAGTCTGAAATTGTGACTTTGTAAAGATTTTGAAGTACCCTAGAGATAAAAGTCCATCACATCAGCAAAGTGAAAATTCACAGCTGATTCCGGCTTTTCAGTGAATAGTTTTGATCACCTGGTTTTAGATTTTGAAACTGTCAAACATTTTGTAGCCAGGAACTTAAATCTATGCATTAGAGCCCATACGTGTAACTGTAAATAGCAACACAGTAAGTTGCTACTACAAGTGGAAAGGGCTTCACATCAGGTAACTTTAGGACTCTGTAATTGGTGCAGGTCTCTTTAATAATTGCTTATAATTGAGGTGCTTCTCCAAGAATTTATTCATAATTCATATTTCATTCCTGTTCTGAATTGCTGTCTGGAGGCATGTTATAGATCTCTCCAAAGATACAAGATCTGTAATTTTTTGCTATAGCAGAGTACAGTATCTTGTTCTACGAGCTACACTACCACTTCAGTTTTGTTAATTGTTTAAATAAAGCTTTAAAACTATAGACAAACCAAAATAGAACTGGGACTGAAAGTAAGATTGAGGGGTAGGACTGATAAGTGACTGCTCACCTCTCTATATATAAATAAATGTATATAAAGAAAAAAGTGAAGAAAGTGTAAGCAGAGATGTTTGGGGTTTTTTCTTGGCTGGGCTGGCTTTAATCAGGTTCAATTCCCTTTGTCTTCACAGCTATATAAAGCTTTGCTTTGGGGTAGGAAGGTAACGGTTTGGATCAAAGGTAGGACTGGTGCTATAAGCTGTGGTGTTAGCTCAAGCGTACTCTGAAATGGCCAGAGTTACTTGGCTTTGAAAGGCTAAAGGATAATTTTATGCAGGTGTTCATTTACTGTACCTGGAAAGCAGGGAGGGCCATGATCTCAACCCACTGAGAAAACTAACTGAAGAAGGTTGCTGTAATGTCTTCCCTGGGCAGCCTTAATATTCTTCTGAAAGTGATCAAACAAAATTCAGAATGACTGCTTTCAGTCAGAGATATTATGTAGTTACGGATGACAGCTTATCCCTTTTATCTGCATGCTGGGGAAGAATCTTTGACTGATTAGGCATAGAATAATAGCCTTTTCACTGAATGGACCTGGTTGCCAGGACTGAATAGCTTCAAGTTGGTGAAAGGTATTTTTAATGTTAATGAAAGAGAATTGTAATTCCTTTTTCATAACTTGCAGTGCTTAGAAGCCTTTAAATTTTTAATGTGTTATGAGAAAATACTATCTGCAGCAAGCTACGTTTATTTTGTGCCATGTCTTGGGAGTTTCTAAGCACTGTTGCAGCTGATGTTGAATAGGGGAGAGCAGTGAAAAGACTACTGTTGTCAGGAGAATCTCCTAGTCTTACTGTGAAAGGTATCCTTCTGTCTATTAGGATATTGTAACTGCAACACAGTGCGAAGTGTACTTAGTGCTATTTTGTGTCTGTTCAATTGCTGAATGTAAACAGTTTTGTGTAATCAAACTTTCATAATGAGGTAGCCTTTCTTATTTTTTGTATAAAACTTCTTTACCATCTGAGACTTCTGCTATGTCATTGCTCTTTTGGTTCGGTTCATTCTAGGAATTCACCCCAGTATTTAGTCTAATACCATATCTTGTAGAGTGTACCTTCATTAATGTAGGAGTAAGTACATTGATGTTTTCCAGCTGCAGGCCATTTAAACTACAAATGGGTAAGAAGGGAAAAGTTGGTCCAGCTTTCTTTTCCCAGGGTACAAAGAAACCATACAGCTCTGTCTTACACTTCTGCCTTCAAGGCTTTTGATACCAGTATTCAAAGCATACCCTGAAGGTATATCTGAAAAGACCCAGAAGCAGAGCTGTTGTTCTTCACTTGGTTAAGATAAACAGGATTGTGAGGGTTTTTCTTGATGTATTCAGGAAGATGTATTGGAAGAGACTGGGATGTTTCCCCTTCATCTGTTAAGCTGGTAGAACATCTCTTACGTATTAAATGTCAGTAGTGATGATGTTCCTTAGTCAAGGTAGATTTTATATTTGATGCCGTAAGATGCGATTGTGCGTTCTCATCAATATTCTCCAATGTTCCCGCTGATTCAGGCTGCTGAGGTTAAGCAATATTAGGAAAATCACTTCTTTAAAGCAGCATGGGAGTTCTTGTGGCTGCAGAATTAGTTTAGTTGTACGAGTGCCACTCACTGTTGCTATACCTCCCACAACACAGGAAGTGGGGTTTTTTCCTGATCTTCACAAGGTATGCATTGCTGCGGAACAGAAACCTGAGTTGCAAGTAGAGAAATTTTGCCATGGGGAAACAAAGAGGATGCTGGTTTCAATGTTAGTTGCTTTGAGCCAGAATTGTTCCCCTTATTATCTTTGTACCATTGCTAACAAGTTCGGTTTTGGTCAGGTTATCATGGCATTTCTTGGGGTTTGGCTCTTGCGGTGCATATAAAGAGAAATGCAAATACTCATTAGTCTGCAACATTTCCCCCTACCTCAGTCTGTTTTATTGTGTGCTTGCTTGGACGTAAATGAATGCTGTCACCTGTCTTTGAGTAGCCAGCCATTGGATGGGACATCTGGCTTTGCTTTTTCAAAGGCTGATGTTCTCCCCATCAATTACAATGAAAATGGCATTATTTCAAGACCTTCCTGAGGACATAGCTTGTCTTTCTCCTCTCTGAACTCGGACTGTACTCAGTACTCAGTTACTAAGAGCAACTTTGTATGTATCAGCCAGTTGTTGATACAAACAGCCTGAAAATGTTAATAGCAGTGGGAAAGAAACTGTTGCCACTTCTCTATGTTTCAACTAAGTTAATTTTGCTAATTTGCCTGCATGTGCTATGGAGTTTTCCTGTATTAATGAGTGCTTTCCTCAATTACTGTTAAAATGCCAGCATGCTATAAAAACATGGGATTTGTGGGGTTTGAACTTCAATATGACTTTATCACTGAATTGGGCCAGGATTTTATTCATGTGCAAGAGCATCTTTTACTCTTCTTTGACCTGTCTTAATTGTTTTACATTTCAGGTTTGATATTTACTATATTCTTTTTATTATTTGCTCAGTACTTTCGCTGTAATTCTTCTTTCAGTTATATTTCTATTCTCTGCTAATACCACAGCATACATAATACCATCAAACTCATTTTTCATCCTGGTCAAACAAAATAGTCTGGGTCTGCTTTTGCAGCAGTAAATCTTGGTTCATCATATGCCTTCACAAAAGTAATCAAAGATTTTCTACAATCCTGAAATGCCCGAAACTTTTTTTTTTCTAGGAAGCTAAAGCCTGTAACATTTTATATTGCCATAAATTATTTTTGTCCCGTGTAGCTTGAGCTACTTTCGCTCTCCTACCTGTTTGCTTTCAAGACCTATTTTGCTTTGGTGCTAATGCCTGTTAGGTCTTTTTATGAAAAAAGTTAACTCCCTAGCCCTGGGGAAGAGAAGTTAATTTTTGTCTGGGTTAATGAATTATCCCACTCAGCAAGAGTCTGATGAATGTCAGAGCTGGCAGGTAGACAGAGGCCAGGGAAAGTATTTGAGAGAATAAGAAAACCCATTTTAGTCTCCCGAGGCTGCCTCATGTAATTTCACCTCATTTTACAGCATTTACTTGACTTTGTTAGAAAAGGCAAAAGAGTGTGGTTGGTTTCTTTGAGCTTCCCTTCTTGCTTTCCAAATAGACTATGAGAGATATTCAAGTTAAAAATTATTTATTCTGATAGTTATTTATTTAATTTGGCTATATCATGTAAAGGTTTTGATTAAAGCTACAGATTAAACAGAGTACATTGTTTCATTGTTGTATTTTTATTTCTCTTAATAACTTTTCTGTTCTTGAAGTCAGGGAAACATAATCTGCCATGTGTCTTATTTGACTTGTTTGCTACCTCACATTAACATCCTTCCTGAATAACCTTTACCATAGGTGAGCATCAGTGTTCAGTTTCTGTGGCATTTTTTAAAATTACTTTAGAAGGCACCTTGTGAGGTGTGGCTAGGAGTAATCCATGATTCATTAATTCAATTCAAGCATATTATCTGCAAAACTTAATAATAAAGATTCAGGTTAAACCACATTAATCCTGATAGTTTTCTTCATCTCTCTACTCTGTGAAACAAGTGAGTTCTCCATAAACTCATTCAAAAAGTATTTTCTGATCATGCGGGTTTAGTACAGCATAAAGAACTATGGGGGATACTTAAAGAAGACCTAACGTGACACTTCCAGGGAAAGCACTACAAAACCTGATGTGAATTTGTGTAGAAGACTAACTCTGTGAAGGGAAATCATGGATAACTTTCTGCTTTTGAACTCCATGAAAATACTCTCCACTCTGTTGGTATATTAATTATGTGCTGACAGTAAGGAGTTGCATCATCTCTTGACCACGGTAGGTAATTTTCACTCTCTTCATAATGTTTCAGTTGATATTTCTAAAGCATATAGTGTGAAGTTACTTAATCACTCAGTAATTACTGAAGTCTGTAAAAAAGGAAAAATGGCAAATGCGTACATTTTTTTAATGTATTTTGAAATACATAAAAACTGGCCTGTTCTCTTGCAATCTACTATGTTACTCTGCGGTGAACTTCTGCTAGCTGAGGGAGGCATAACTTTTCACTGACTGAAGTTATTAAAACCAGGCTGACACCAAACCTCTATGAACAAATTGGACGGGAGAAAAAAGGGTTGGCAAGGAAAAGTTCTTTAAAAATAGAATTTCTGTTAATTGCAGAGTTAGTACATAAAGCATGGAACTAACTCCAGCAGTTTTTCTATGGCCTTAACTGAAGGATCTGTAGCTAACTGTTTTCTTCTTTTTGGGGGTGGGATGGAATGTGCGAGTCAAAGTAAAAGCCATAAGGAGGAATTGTCATTGCTTTTCCCAGAAATATAAAAACTATGCTATAAACCTTATCTTTTGTATTTTACACCAACCAACATGTATGTTCAATAAATCTAGAAGGTAAATCCATTTCTACTTAGGTGCTTATAAAATGCAGAAGTTATGATTCTAGGTAACAAGGTGAAAATGTTAAATTGGTCTAGTTGTTTCATTGGCTTTGGGACTATCCTGTTCCTTGTCAAGTGCAGAGGATGAACTATAGCTGTTTGATAACAGCACAAAGTGAGGCAGCTCTCAGCTTTGTCCTCAGGAACAGTGGATGAGTCAGAAAAGGAGAGCGAGAGGGGCTTAGTGCTGTTCCTGCTATCACATTTGTACCACTATCTATGTAGCTTCAGCATCGTTTTAAACTGGAACAGATCGTTCCAAGGGTGCCCTCTGTGGGAGATGAGTGGGCTTAGGAATCCAGATGAGACACCACCACCACCACTAAAGATGTGAAAGAAGGACTAGGGTGTCTTTTTCCCCAAAGCTATTAGTTGGCCTGAAGTAACATATTACCTATGGCAAAGGAGGACTCCGAGCTAAAGGCACAGAGATCTTTGCTGGATTGTCCCTTTGGGGAGCAGCTGCTTTATGCAAAACAGTAAAGCATGCTCTTGAAGCCTATTACTTGAAGATGCAAGCTCTGGGCATGCTAAAGAATTTACATGTTATCCAGATTATTTTGATAGGAATGTACTAGTGTTACCAAATACCTGTACTTGATTTCTGTAGTCAGTCTCTATCACAAACTCAGAGTAAAGAGCACAAATATACTGCCTGCCACATTTAATGTAATAGAAGTAGAGGCACGGGACTGAAAGGCTTTCTTGATTACTTACTGTCATGGTTGTTCCAGTCTTGGTGGTCCCAAAATTCAAATCATATTGTTTGAATGAGACATTAAAGTATGAAACACGTGAGAGATGAACAAATGTGAAAAACATGAACTAGAATACTTCTAGATTTATAACCACAAACCTGTGAGAAAGCTATTAGGTCTTCTTGTACCTATCTCTGTCAAACCGAGGAGCTCCTGATAAACTTCTGTTCCCCAGCGACTGGTACTAGAACACAGGTGTTAATCTACACACAGTGGGCACCTCGATTTTTATTTTGTTTTCTTTTATAAGCTGCGTTCCCTGATTGTTACAGCTCTTCTCCGGGGATATTTTTTTCAAATAGCGGATGTTGAAATAAATGCAGCAACAAATGTAGCAGCGCCCGATACTGAAGGAATATACAGCTGCTCGGGAGTTTCCCATGGCAGGTGCTGCTGTCGCTCACCTCCTTCTCAATCACTGCCTCCCGGGAGAGCGCCCCAGGCTCGGAGCAGTCTCTCACTCGGTATCGCTCCACCGGCGCTGCAGGGCTTTGCCCACCGCGCGCTGCTTTACAACACGGCGGCGCTTCCTTGGGGGAATTTCTCTTCCTCTTCACCGCCCACCGCTAGTCTGCGGCCACTCGCGGGCTGGGCCGGCGGCATCCACCGGCGGCGGCCTCTCCTCCCGGCACCGCCCAGACAGGGCTCCCGCAGCATTCTGGGAACTGTAGTCCAGGGATAGCAAACCCGCGGAGCGGGGCCCCCTTGACGAACTGCGTTACCCAGGAAGCTCCGCGGCGGCCACGCCCTGCTGCTGTTTGCCCCTGAAGGCGTTGACTCGAGAGGGGCAGAAGGCGGGGGTGGGCCAATAGCGGGCCGAGGTAGGGCGACCCTGTGGGCTCGGGGCCAATGGGAGCGCGCCAATAGCCCGGGCGGGGCGGGGTGGCTGTTGCCGGGCGGCTCCGGGCGGAAGTGGGGCAGCCGGGCGGAGCGGGCGTGTGTGCGGTCGGCCCGGGCTGCGCCTCCTGCCCGTGCGTGAGCTGCGCCCCGAGCCTCGGGGCCCGTGGGCTGGGAGCGGCACCAAAGAGGCTGCTCCGGGATGGGGGAATGGAACCGGATGGGATGTGGGAGCGGTAGCACCGGGAGGGAGAAGAGCAGCTCAGGGTACGGGGCTTTGTAAAGCAGCGACTTGCGCGTGTGTTAAGGGCGTCGCTTCTGTCCCTGCAGGTCTACGAGAACCCGGACTCCAGGTATCCCGGGATGACCGCCTGGGTGCCTCCCGATGCGCTGGGTCGGAGGGTCTCGTGTGGCACCGACTACGGGACTGTGCGCTATATGGGCAGCGTGGCTCGTACATCAGGTAAAGGTCACAGAAGCAACTATCTTTACATCTAATGGCTGTTCTCAAAGTTCTATTTATGTGCTTCTTTAAAAACCATTGTCAAGCAAAATGAAAACGTTGTCAAGTAGAATGTTGTCTTTTCCTCGTTGTTCTTGTGTAAATATGGCAACTTCTGGATAAGTTGCTGGGGTTTTTTTAGAAGTTAAGAGTTGTCAAAAGGAGTGTAAGAAGTACTTTGGGCTGAGGTTGGTTATGTTTTTTTCTTACAGTAGAAAGGTCTCAGTGCCTTCTTTTTTCCATTAGTTTTCACAAACAGTGCTGGCATAGTCAGGGAAGGTGAGAGAGAGGCAGGAGGAGATCAACAGATAGGGGTCCTCCTTTGATAACATATTGTTTTGGGTTTGTAGGACAAGGCTTTGATGGAGGGGGGGCTACAAGGGTGGCTTCTGTGAGAAGCTGCTGGAAGCTTCCTCCATGTCTAACAGAGCCAATGCCAGCCAGCTCCAAGATGGACCTGCATCTGGCCAAGGCTGAGCCCATCAGCAATGGTAGTAACACCTCTGAGTTAACATGTTTAAGAAGGGAAAGGAAAAAAACATCATTGTGCAGCAGTAATTATGGCCAGAGAAGAGAGGAGTGCGAATATGTGAGAGGAACAACTATGCAGACACCAAGGGTAGTGAAGAAAGAGGGGGAGAAGGTGCTCCAGACTCAGCCAGAGCTGAGATTCTCCTGCAGCCCATGGAGGTCAACAGGGGTGCAGAGATCCACCTACAGCCCATGGAGGAGATGTATGCTGGAGCAGGTGGATGCCTGAAAGAAAGTGGTGACTCCATGGGAAGGCCATGCCGGGAGCAGGTTCCTGGCAGGACATGTAGACCCATGAAGAGAAGAGCCAACACTGAAACAGGTTTCCTGATAGGACTTGTGACCCTATGGGGTACCCACGCTGGAGCAGCCTGTTCCTGAAGGACCCCATGAAAAAAGGGTTCCACACTGGGGCAGTTCGTGAGGAACTGTACTGTAGCCTGTGGGAAGGACTCATATTGGGGAAGTTTGTGGAGTACTGGCTGCCATGGGAGGGACTCCACGTTGGATCAGGGAAAGGACTCCTCTCCCTGAGGAGGAAGCAGTGGCAGAAACGACCCGTGATGAGCTGGCTATAACCTCCATTCCCTGTCTCCCTGTGCTGCTGAGGGGAAAAATGTAGAGCTCAGGAAGGAGGGAGGGTTGGGGGAGGCAGGTGTTAAGATTTGCCTTCCTTCTCATTATCCTACTCCGATTGGTAATAAATTCAATTAATTATCCCAAGTTGAGTTTGTTTTGCCTGTGACGGCAATCAGTGAGTGATCTCTCCCTGTCCTTGTCTCAACTTGTGAGCCTTTCATTATATTTTTTTCTCCCCTGTCCAGTTGAGGAGGGGAGTGACACAGTAGCTTTGGTGGGCACCTGGTATCCAGCCCAGGTCAAATTTATGGAGACAGATAAGACTGAGCTTAGCTTGTGGAAAGATCTGGCCAGTCTGACAGTGAGAGTCAGATGATAACATGTCATCTTCGAAAAATTGTGGTGACAGGATGGGGAGATTGCTGATGCCCGGAAGAAGACCAACCTTGCATACAGCTCTAAAAGAGGCAAGAAGGATGACCAGGGAACTGTAGACTCATCAGCTTCTATTTCTGGAAAGACCATGTAGCATGTTCCCTTGAAGTCCATTTCCAGGCCTATGAAGGAGAAGATGGTAGTTGGGAATATTTAATACTTGTAAAGAAGAATAAGTTGTGCTTGACAAACCTAATTACCTTCTGTGATTATATGACTGGGAATGTGGACAAAGTGAGAGCAAGGGATGTAATGTTCCTTGACTTTAATAAGTCTCTTAATAGTGTCTCCGTAAAGAATCTTATTTGGAAGCTGGAGAAATACAAGCCAGCTTGTATTTCTCCATTCACTGGAGAAATGAATGGACTATTAAAGTGCGTTGAAAGTTGTCAAGTGGAAAAGTGGTAATCGATGACTTGATATCAGGGAATGAGTGAGTACTACAGAAGTAAAGGCTGGGGTCTGTATTGATTCATGTATTCATTAGTGTCTCAGGTGATGAACAGTGTTCACCCTCAAATGGCTGCTGTGACACGAGTTAGAATTGCAATCCAGATCAAGCTTTATGAACTTAAGGTTTGAGCCCAAGAGATTCAAGAAAGATAAATTTCCACATGTAGTGTATCAGTATGGACCAGGAAGCACTAGCAACTCACACAGTCTGTTGTAAAGGACTAGGGAGTTAAGTTGGATACTGTCATGAATATGAGCCAACAGTGAGCTCTTTTGACAAGTAGGATACATGTTGTACTAGGTCACCTTAGAATGGTGAACATGGCTTGCAAATTAAAGGAAGCTGTTATCCCCCTCTGGGGGCAGGGGTTCTTGATAGCGTTGCACCTGGAGTAATGTATCTGGTGTGGGACCATCCCAATTCAAGAGGGATGCAGATAAACTTGAGAGGATCTCAAAGATCTCCTCTCTGGAGGAGTCTTGGAGAACTGCCAAGGGGGTCAAGGACACAGACCATTCACCTGTGTTGTGAAGAGAGGTTGAGGGATCTGGGCTTGGCTGATGTGGTGAAGAGAAGAAAAAGTGGCATCTAATAGCTTCCTGCAGCTATTTGACAGGCAGTCACAAGGATGACAGAGCCTAATTGTTCTTACTAGTATTAGATTATATAATAAAGGACAATGGCCACAGCAGGGAAATCTTTTTCTACGGAAGTAATGTAGCACTGAAATAGGCTGCCCAGATATGTTGGAATCTTTCTCTCCTTGGAAATTTTCAGTATCTGGCTAGGTGAAGACTTACCTAGCTGGCTTGTTTTAGAGCTGATGATAATCTCCTGCTTTGAGAGAGAAGGTAACTAAGTGAACTTCAGAGCTTCCTTCCAACCGTGATTTCTATGGATATGATGCCATAAATTTTAAAATGTATCTACCTTTTTTTCAGGAATTTGGCTGGGTGTGGAATGGGATGATCCTCAGAGAGGAAAACATGATGGCTGCTACGAAGGAACACAGTACTTTAAGTGCAGGTGAGTTGATTCACAGCTTTGGCATGTCTAGACATTGGCATCGACTAGATGGTCATGGGAAAATGCCCTATTGCAATTTTTAGGGCAAACCCTTCTATCATCAGTTAGGTGTTATTAAAAAGATCGTAGTTCTGAGTGCAGTGACTAGCTAAGCCATAGAGGCTGTTGCATTGTTATTAATCTGGTTACAAGTATTAGAATATGGTTAATACTTAAAAAATACAAGTTATGTTTTCAGATATATGTAATAAAATGGGATTTTTGGATGTTAGTAATATTACCTTTGGTTGGTTTTAGAACTTCTACTTTAGTTAGGAAATGGATAGTTCCCACTAACCTTCCTTAGGTAATTCTGAAGTGAAATACTGGTCCATATTAACTGTCTCAAACACAGTCTGAGTTTGGACTTAATATGACCTGCATTTATCTTGTTAAGGGAAAATACCAAGTTCCTATTAATTATTTGGGTTATATTTGTATCACTCAGGAATTAAGTATGTTCACTGCATATACTACATGCAAAACATAGTGTAGCTGTGTGGGGTTTTTAAGTATATACATGAATTACATTTAAGTGTAAAGATTTGAGCACTTAACATTTTTGAAATTGTGGAATACAGTATGCTAGGGTTGACACTTACTGCAGCAAGTTGTTGATTTCCATGTCAGGGGACACTGCAACAGCTAAAACTTTGTGAGTTAAATAGTAACTGGATGAATTCATAAAAGAAAAGTCATCAAGAGCTCTTAAACACTACAGACTGCTAGCTCAGTAAATTCCTGAGCATGGAAGTGGTGAAGGATGAGAGAACAAAATCTCTTCTTTAGGAAAACGTGTATAGACTCTTGGTGTTTTAGCAACCATTAGCATGCTTCCAGGAGATGAGATCTCAGATAGTGATCTCAATTCTTGAGGTAAGAATCAACTCTTTGAGTGAAGCTTCATATACCTGTAACAAATGTAAATGTGGTCTTTAAACATGTTCTTAGAATACTTGTTCTTTGTACTCTGCTTTTTTCCGATCAGAAGAAGACCTTCTGGAGTCTAAGAGAATAAATAGTAGTTCTAGCAGTCCACCATGACAAATAGACATAAATTCCAGATTTGTAATTCTGGTACCAATTGTGAAGATAAAGGCAAACTTAAGTAAAAAATGGTTACCTTATTTTACCAAAAGGATGCTAAAAAAACCCAGCAAAACCCTCCTACAACTTAAAATGTCACCTCTTTACTACTACTTAGGGAGGGAATAATGTTCCTTTGTCTATGTATATACATGTATAAGAAACATAAAATTTCTATTTTTTTTCCCTAAACCTTATCATGAGTATCCTTTGCCTACAAGCTTACTTTGCTCACTCCCTAAATTCTGATAAGCAGAAGCAGTTGATCAAGTAGCTTGTACTGTAAACAAATGCAATGGAAGGACATTTTAAATCATTTTTAGGGCAATTTTAAAAATATATCTTTATTAAAAAATATATCTTTCAGAGAGACATTTGAAAATAGGACCATAAGAGGAAAATAAAACTGAATTTGAGATTCTCACTACCAGAGGAAAATTTTTGTAGTCCTTATCTGAGACAGTAGGTCTGCTTACAACTATGTGTGATCTTTATAGTAAGTTTTTTTAAAATATGACCTAAACTTTTATATTTCATGACAGTATATTTATCTGGGTCATACATTATGTGGTGATAATTAAGCTTCTTAAGAATATGAAAACCAAAGAAAAAAACAACCATATTTCAAAATATGCTGACATCATGAGCACATTCATGAACTCTGGATCAGCTAGAAATGGCAATGCATACTCTAGTGACATTTTTGTGGGTTCTTTTCCTTGGTAATAGCAACTTGTTTTTTAATAACTGAGGAAGCTATTATTTTAGCTGTCAGCTGCAGTAGTCTATAATGTAATTAAAATACGTTCTACAGTCCTACGAGAGAAAGGAGGAGTACTCAAGCCTTAAAACAGTGTTAAAATTTGTATACAGCTTTTGAAACATGAGTGTGTTTTCAAAGAGGTTCTCGTCCCACAGACCCATTCACACAGTTATATGCATGTGCTCTCCTGGGAGATGTGGGTTACAAGCACACGCTCCTCCCCTGGGAATGCCAGTGCCTTAGCTACACACAGCTCCTGTGGGAGACATGGGTGCTCCAGCTTCTGTATTCCTGCGCTGCTTCCTGACATCTTTTAACAAGTATACTGGTAGAAAGCACCTCTGAGGTCACATGTGCACACTGAGATGTGGAGCACATACGTTGCTCCTCACAATGTCTGTCCTTGCTGGGCACAGGCTCACCTCATCATCTGACCAGGAGGCAACTCTGACTGGCCAAGGCAAAAATGTGCTGCTGGTGGGGTGACTTTTGGTAGCGTCAAACCAGGTTTTGCCTGCTGCTCTGGTACCCTCTTCTTTCTCCCCACAGTTATTGGTGTTCAGGCTCCTTTTATGCTTCCCATCAAGTGGAGTGTCCTCTCACCCCTCTATTAATCTGGCAGAGGGGTCATCTTCCTCACTAGCCCTCCTCTCAGTCAGTTTTGGGTATTCCATTTAAACATAGCGTCTACACAGGCACTGCTATTTTAGCAGCTGATTTTATCCATGCCATTTTGCTGAGGGAGATGTGTAGATTTCCCAGCAGTAGATGAACATACTTTTCTGCTTACGTGACAAGATAGGTGTAACATTCTGCTGTATCACACATTTAGAGTACTTTGAGTCATAATTCTCTCCCTGCTAGAGAATGTTTTGTTCTTCCTATATCACTTCCCAGAGGAATCCTGATATTTCAGCAGATCCTGGAGCTAGAAGTATTGACCATATTGAATTGTAATCTACTTCCCCAGGTTTGACTTTGACAGCAGGCCAGAGAAATGGAGGAAAATATAGTAAAACTTGTTTCTGTGATGTTTCCAGATTGGCAGAATTGCAATTGCTGCTCAGATCTTTATGGCCTTTTTTTCACCTTTGTGTTATTAAGTTTTATTCTGGCAGTAACTTTGACTTTTGCACATTTGTGGAGTCCTGAAATGCCATGGCAAAGGCATTACAGGTTTTCATTTTTTTTCTTCTTCACTTCTTCACTTATAAAACATGAGTTTTATAAGAGTTTATAAGTATAGAGAGCAGTTGTGACCAAGTGTATGTTGCTGTTTGCATGAATTTTATGTTCCTGCCCAACAGAATCATAGAATTTTTTAGCTTGGAGAAGACCTTTAAGATCATCAAGTCTATCAACTTGGCCACCATGTTCACCATTAAACCATGTCCTCAGGTGCCATAACCACATGTTCTTTGAACAGTTCCAGGGATGATGACTCCACCACTTCACTGGGCAGTCTGTTCCAATACTTTATGACCCTTTCTGCAAAGACATTTTTCCTAATATCCCATCTCAACCTCCTTGCTCACACTATTGCTGATACAGGCCAGGATGCCATTGGCCTTCTTGGCCACCTGGGCACTCTGCTGGCTCATGTTCAGCCACTGTCGACCAGCACTCTCAGGTCCTTTTCTACCAGGCTGTGGTGCTGGACCGGGCTATCGTGACCCAAGTGCAGGACCTGGCACTTGGCCTTGTTGAACCTCCTACAATTGGCCTTGGCCCATCAATCCAGCCTGTCCAGATCCCTCTGCAGAGCCTTCTGACCCTCCAGCAAATCAATACTTTCATCCAACTTGGTGTCATCTGTGAACTTGCTGAGGGTGCACTCAATTCCCTCGTCCAGATCATCGATGAAGATATTAAACAGAACAACACTGAGCCCTGGGGAACCCCAGTAGTAACCAATCAACAACTGGATGTGCCTCCATTCACTGCCATTCTCTGGGCCCAGCCATCCAGCCAGTTTTCTACCCAGCAAAGAGTACACCCATCCACACCATGGGAAACCTGTTTCACCAGGAGAATGTGAGAAATGGTGTCAAAGGCTTTACCAAAGTCTAGGTAGACAACATCCACAGCCTTTCCCTCATCCCCTTGTGGGTTACCTGGTCACAGAGGTAGATCAGGTTGGTCAAGCAGGACCTGCCTTTTGTAAATTCCCACTGGCTGGACCTGATCCTCTGTTCGTCCTGTACATGTTGCATGATGTCACTGAAGATGATCTATCTGCTCCATGAAAGAAGAATATCTGTTTATATTAAATTAGGCTGTTTTTCCCTCAAGAATGACAGATTGATCTCCAGGAATATCTACTTAGAGCACAAACAAACTCTTCAAATATGGGAAAGATATCGATAACATTTTAGTGTCTATGAAGAAAAAGTGATTGCCATTTAGCAAAGGGAGAATGCATTCCCAAGATTCTTTTTAGCCTGAGAAGGTTTCAGTTAGGAAGCTTTGACTGTTTCCCTGTGTGTCACTGTATCCATCAGAGACTTCTGCTCTCTGCTGCCAGTAGAACTGTGTTGAAGCAAAACTGTTGTCTCTAACCATTGTTCAAACAGGTCCTGTGCACCAGCAGAACCTTAAGATAGCGTCTGGAACTGCAGAGGTCTCTTTGTCTTTCCTTGTTTTGTGAAAGCTCCAACTCAGCTTTCATGTCTGCTTAAGGTAAACTTGCAAGAACTTGAAGTTCTTGCTGACGTTTGCAAAGCTTCTGCTGTTCGGTCAGGAATTTGATACACCATAGCACGTGTTACTTATAAGTGTTATTGGATGCCACAGCCTGTTCTAAAACTTGAAGGGTCTACTTTACTGCAGTGTGTAGATTCTTCTAAAAGAAGTCTGGTCCGTTGAGCGCTTCCCCTAGAAGGAAGAGATCTGTTCAGAGCCTATCTAGAAAAGATGTGCATGAATTCAAGCAGCTACATTTTATGACACCTTATGAGCCTGGTAGTGTATTTGCTCTGGTCATGATGATAATTGCCTGGAGATAATCATTGCAAAACAGTCGGTACTGGGCAAAGAAGCCCTTTGATCCACATTTACTGCCAGGCTGATAAAGCTGAGATCTCCTTGGCTCAGGAACTCGCTTCTGCAGTCACACGACTCAAGTGTGTAACTGTTACGGTTTATGTACTCCTGCATTACTCTTCAGGTACTGAGAAGTGTGTGTGTGTGACATTTCCCTAGCATATGAAGAGCCATCATGTACCTGTAATGATGAGCAGTACCACCACTTTATTTTCCATTAGCAAAGAATGATGCCGAGATTCCTCTTTATTCAGTGAAAGCTGATAGCTAACCCAAATTCTAATGAATATATTTGAAGTGCCCTGGGCACATCACCAGATGGACTGCAATGCTTCAGGCTACTGGATCATGAGTAGGAAGTGTCCTACAAGATGACTTCTGAGACTGGGGTCAACCTCTCCATTTTAAAAGTCAGTAGGAAGTGTCAGTATTAACCAGAGCCAGCTGGTTGCCAGAGCCCCACTTGGGCAAATGCCTTATTTTCTGCTTAGTGAAATTGGGCCATATCTTCTACCACTTCATTTCCATACAGTATTTTGTCCTGGCTGCAAGAGATTTTACATACGTGGGAGCAAAATCCCTGTTCTCGGACTTCTGAGAGTTCAGCTTAAGTCAGGTTGATCAGTAGTCCACAGGTTCTTCCATTTCGTGATATGCAGTGCAGGATGACTCTTTGGATTAGGGTTTATCTGTTTAGTCCCCCGTTACAGAGACTGCTTGCTAATAGGTGTGCATTTTCATTAGTCCAAGTGCTGTACATTATTTGTTTGATATGTACATAGTGCTTGTACAGTTCATATGCCCTAGTGTGAAAGTTAATGCAGGCAGTGTATTTCAGGGAAAATGAATTAGTGATCTCTCTTCTTGAATCCACAATCATTTTGTCTGAAAATATGTTCCTATTGCAGTCCCTTTTCCTGTCCTTCATGACAGTTCCTGAAAAGGTAGATCAAATTAATAGAATGGAACTAAAAAAGAAACTCAGACTGTGAAATGGTATTAAGTATATGTTAGATAATATATAAAAGCATGCATCGTACTTTGAAGTGGTAGCAACAGGAGAGAGAAACCCTATGATCTTGTGATCAAAACAAAAATACAAGAGTCTTGAGAGATAAATACACTGTAATTTTCCTTTAAATAAAAGGGGCAAGGTAGCTAGTTTCCTTTGTGGTTTTTTTTTCCTAGGGATAGAACTCACTCCTGCAAAGACAATGAGGAAGGAGATGCCAATAGAAGTGGTGACCTGAGAGGACAGAAATGGGCTAAGGAATGGGTATGGTGACAGAGAGACCCAAAGGGGCTTGGTTATGCAGAGATAAATGGCACAACAGGAAGGATGTCTGCGGGCTATCTAGATTAGCTCTGGTGAGAGGGCTGAGGAGAGCAGAGGGAAGAAGGTAGCAGAACTATTGAGTGCATGAGATGGTGATGACAAAATGAAGAGAATCAAGGTGATAGGAAAATGGACATACAGCAGGACCTTCAGTGAATTACAGATAGACAAGATTATGAGGTTTTTTTCCAGAACCCCAGGTAGAATCCTGAAGCTGTTTGAATTAATTAAATGCAAAGTGATATACTTTGCAAATAAGAGATGTTATAGTTAAGGTGGTGAAATTGTAATTTACTGTTTTAAGAAGTCATATTAAGAAAGAGTCACACAACATTTAAACCAGTCACATGTTTGCAAGCTATGAAGAGCTTCAAAAGGAAAATTCTTAAGAGAAGGTTACTGGATTAAAAATGTAGAGTATTGAAAATGCTTATTGAAAGTGAGAAGTACATACCAGATTTACATTCTCTACAAGTTTGCCTTTCTGCCTTGTTTGGTAGTCATTGCACTCTGAACTCAGTCACTGCAAAACTAGACTGGAAATATTTTGAATGTAAATAATATGTTCTTTCTACCCAGATCTTTCTTTAGGATATGAGAGTAGAATCATAGAATCATAGAATCATAGAATCGATTGGGTTGGAAAAGACCTCCGAGATCATCGAGTCCAACCCTTGGTCCAAATCCAGTCCATTTACTAGATCATGGCACTCAGTGCCACGTCCACTCTGCGTTTAAAAATCTCCAGGGATGGTGAATCCACCACCTCTCTGGGCAGCCCATTCCAATGCCTGATTACTCTCTCTGTAAAGAATTTTCTCCTGATATCCAACTTAAATTTCCCCTGGCGGAGCTTAAGCCCGTGCCCCCTTGTCCTATTGCTGAGTGCCTGAGAGAAGAGACCACCCCCCACCTGGCTAGAACTTCCCTTCAGGTAGTTATAGACGGTGATGAGGTCACCTCTGAGCCTCCTCTTCTCCAGGCTAAACAACCCCAGCTCCCTCAGCCTCTCCCCATAGGACTTATGCTCCAGTCCCTTCACCAGCCTTGTTGCTCTTCTCTGGACCCGCTCCAGCCCCTCAATATCCTTTCTGAACTGAGGGGTCCAGAACTGAACACAATACTCAAGGTGTGGCCTCACCAAGGCAGAGTACAGGGGAAGGATCACTTCCCTGCTCCTGCTGGCCACGCTATTTTTGATACAGGACAAGATCCCATTGGCCTTCTTGGCCACCTGGGCACACTGTTGGCCCATGTTGAGCTTCCTGTCAATTAGTACCCCCAGGTCCCTTTCTGCCTGGCTGCTTTCCAGCCACTCTGTGCCCAGCCTGTAGCGCTGCAGGGGGTTGTTGTGGCCAACGTGCAGGACCCGGCACTTGGCTTTATTGAACTTCATCCCATTGGAATCAGCCCATCTCTCAAGTCTATCCAGATCCCTCTGCAGAGCCCTCCTGCCTTCCAGCAGGTCGACACTCCCTCCCAGTTTGGTGTCATCAGCAAATTTGCTGATGATGGACTCAATCCCCTCATCTAAATCATCAATAAAGATATTAAACAGGACTGGACCCAACACAGACCCCTGGGGAACACCACTGGTGACCGGCCGCCAGCTGGATGCAGCTCCATTCACCAGCACTCTCTGGGCCCGACCCTCCAGCCAGCTCCTAATCCAGGAGAGGTTACACTTGTCCAAGCCATGGGCTACCAGCTTTTCCAGGAGTATATTATGGGAGACAGTGTCAAAGGCCTTGCTGAAGTCTAGATAGACCACATCCACAGCCTTCCCCTCATCCACCTGGTGGGTCACCTGATCGTAAAAAGAGATCAGGTTGGTCAGACAGGACCTGCCCCTCCTAAACCCGTGCTGGCTGGGTCTAATCCCTTGTCCATCCTGACGGTGCTGTGTGATTGCACTCAGGATGATCTGCTCCATAACCCTGCCAGGCACCGAGGTCAGGCTGACAGGCCTGTAGTTGCCAGGGTCCTGCTTGCAGCCTTTTTTGTGGATTGGGGTGACATTCGCCAACCTCCAATCATCTGGGACCTTCCCAGAGAGCCAGGACTGTTGGAAGATGATGGAGAGCGGTTTGGCAAGCTCTTCTGCCAGCTCCCTCATCACCCTGGGATGGATCCCGTCTGGTCCCATAGACTTGTTAGGATCCAGCTGGCTCAGTAAGTTGCTAACTACATCCTCCTGGAATACAGGAGGGCTATTCAGCTCTCTGTCTCTGTCTATCTGCTCTAGAGGCCAGTTGTTCTGAGGGCCACCTGTCTTACTGCTAAAAACTGAGGCAAAGTAGGTGTTAAGTACCTCAGCCTTCTCCTTATCTTTGTTAACTATATTTCCCTCCAAGTCCAACAGAGAATTGAGGTTTTCCTTGCCCCTTCTTTTGCTATTAATGTATTTATAAAAGGACTTTTTGTTATCCCTAACTGAATTAGCCAAATTAACTTCAAATTCCACTTTTCTTTCCCTAATTTTTTTCCTGCATGACCTAGCTCTCTTCGTAAATTCTTCATAAGTAGCCAGCCCTTTTTTCCACAGTCTGTAAACTTTCTTTTTATGCCTGATTTCTTTCAGAACCTCCCTATTTAACCAAGCCGGCCGTCTTCCCCTCCGGCTGGCCTTTCGGCACACTGGAATAGCCTGTTCCTGTGCGCTCAAAATTGCCTGTTTGAAGCATGTCCATCCCTCCTGGACCCCCTTGCCTTTAAGGGTTGTTTCCCAGGGTATGCCCTGAATTAGTTTTTTGAATAGGCCAAAATCTGCCCTCCGGAAGTCCAGAGTAGAAGTTTTAATGATGGCTCTCCTTACATCCCTAAGGATTGAAAATTCTATTATTTCGTGGTCACTATGCCCCAGGCGGCCTCCAACCACTACATCATCCACCAGCCCCTCTCTGTTTGTAAACAGTAGGTCTAGTGGGGCCTTACCCCTGGTAGGCTCATTTACCAGTTGATGAAGGAAATTATCCTCTATACACTCCAGGAACCTCCTTGACTGCCTCTTCTCTGCAGTATGAAGCTCCCAGCAGATATCCGGCAGGTTAAAGTCACCCATGAGCACAAGGGCTGGAGATTTTGAGACATCTGCCAGCTGCTTGTAGAATAATTCATCTCCTTCATCATCCTGGTTGGGCGGTCTGTAACAGACACCCACAAGGATGTCAGCCTTGTTGGCCTTCCCCCTGATTCTGGTCCACAGGCACTCAACCTTGTCACTGCTGACCTCAACTTCAACAGAGTCAAGAGACTCTCTAACATATAAAGCCACCCCTCCACCTCTCCTACCCTGCCTGTCCTTTCTGAAGAGCTTGTAGCCCCCCATAGCAGCACTCCAGTCGTGTGAGTCATCCCACCACGTTTCTGTGACAGCAACTATGTCATAGTTTTCCTGCTGCACTATGGCTTCCAGCTCCTCTTGTTTGTTTCCCATACTGCGTGCATTGGTGTACATGCACTTCAGCTGGGCCATTGATTTTATTCTCAACTCGGGCTCTACACCCTTAGGCTTATTTCTGGAGAGCCCAGTTGCCACCCCTTCCCCCTTCAAACCTAGTTTAAAGCCCTCCTAACTAACCCTGCCAACTTATGGGCTACAGTTCTTTTGCCCTTCCCAGATAGATGAAGCCCATCTGGTTTAACAAGACTAGGCAACATGGAGTTTGCCCCATGATCAAAAAACCCAAAATTTTGAGGATAGCACCATCCTCTAAGCCACCTATTGGTAAGCTGTGCTTTCCTAAACCTCTCCTCATTTATCTCCTCATTCATCCCAGCTAGCACAGGAACTGAGCCAATTACTACCTGTGCTCCTGTCCCATGAAGTGATCGGGTCAGAGCCTTAAAATCTTTTTTAATTACCCTGGTACTCCTATTATTGATGTCATCACTTCCAACCTGGACAACCAACAGCGGGTAATAGTTTGAGGGTTGAATAAGTTTAGGAAGTGTTTTCGTAAAGCCCAGACATGTCAAAGTGGTGCAGGCCTCCTCATGGCACTGAACTCATAAAGCCCAGACATGTCATAATGGTGCAGGCCTCATCATCACACTGACCTCATAAAGCCCAGACATGTCATAATGGTGCAGGCATCATCATGGCACTGACCTCATAAATCCCAGAAATGTTATAATGGTGCAGGCGTCATCATCGCTGTGACCTCATAGAGGCCAGACATGCCATAATGGTGCAGGTCTCCTCATGGCACTGACCTCATAAAGCCCAGACATGTCAGAATGGTGCAGGCGTCATCATCACAGTGACATAATAAAGCCCTGACACCTCATAATGGTGCAGGACTCATCATCACACTGATGTCATAAAGCCCAGACATGTCATAATGCTGAAGGACTCATCACCACACTGACGTCATAAAGCCCAGACATGTCACATTAGCGCAGAAGTCATCATCACACTGACCTCATAAAGCCCAGACATGTAATAATAGTGCAGGTTTCCTCATGGCACTGACCTCATAATACCCAGATATGTCATAATGGCGCAAGCCTCATCACAACACTGACGTGAAAAAGCCCAGACACGTCATAATGGTGCAGTGCTCATCATCACACTGACCTCATAAAGCCCAGACACGTCATAATGGTGCAGGCCTCATCATCACACTGAACTCATAAAGCCCAGACACGTCATAATGGTGCAGGCCTCATCATCACAGTGACCTCATAAAGCCCAGACATTTCATAATGGCGCAGGCCTCATCATCACACTGACCTCATAAAGCCCAGACATGTCATAATGGTGCAGGCCTCTTCATGGCACTGACCTCATACAGCTCAGACACCTCATAATTGTGCAGGTCTCATTATCACACTGACCTCATAAAGGCCAGACATGTCATTATAGAGCAGGTCTCATCATCACGGTGACCTCATAAAGCCCAGAAACGTCATAATAGTGCAGCCGTCATCATCGCATT